GAACAGTGAACTCCCGGCACATCGTTTTCGCTATTTAGGTTAAACATGATACATAAGTCACTTAGATAACTGAAAAATGTTGCTGTTTGGCCTTTTTCAGTGTTTTATTATCAGATTTATATTTATAAATCGGATTGGCTGAGATTAAAGTTATAGTTTTCACACAGCTGAATAAACGTCACACAGAAAACTGATTAAACAGAAATGTGAGACGGTTGAGAATTCACGCCAGTGTGCTGATATGTTTTACTTAGCAAGGAGCAGACGGTTGAGTTTATTAAACTCCATGGAGACAGCTGGTGACGCAAACTGACCGTCCAATTTCACCGCCGCTCACTTCCGGCCTTCGGAGGACCTGCCCACGAAGACTGCGAAGGCCGGGTCCTCAGGAGGATGCAGCCTATGAATTTGGACACCCCCTTAGTTGTCACTTATATGATTCTTTGAGTTTCACTTCCTCCCCTGTCTCGTTACCTTGAATGTCTGCACCTGCGTGTCTTCCCCAGCTGTGTCCACTTCCCCTAATTAGCCTGTGTGTATTTAAAGTACGGTCTCCCCTTTGTTCCTTGTCAGAGCATCTGTCCTCGTGTGTGCGGTCCCTGCCACTTGGATTCTGTTTGGGTTTCCTCTTTATTGAATTTTGTATTTTAAACTGTTTTCAAACCACAAATATAAACACCCTTTGTTAAAGGTTGAGTCTGCATTTGGGTCCAAGACCTGTGGTTTGACAAAAATTGTATATGTCACTTTAACTGCCAGCACTTTTGTTTGCCTGAAGGAAGTTGAGAAGTATTAAGGTAAAACGTGCTGTTTCCAGTTGTTCCCTGTCTCTATTATCATGTTTAAGTTGTCATTGTTTGTCTTTGATTATATCTTGTTTTATCTTAAAGATTGTTTTGTTTTTTTGTTTTTTCATGTCATTTTCCTGCTTCCCCTCCTTGATTCCTCTTCTCAGCTTCTCTAATTGTAATCCCACCCACCAACTATGTGAGTGTTTTAACATGTTTTAATGCTTTGTCTTGTTCTACTTAATCTGAAAAAAAAAGTCAATGATCACTGTGGGCCACTCTTGGTTTTTATCATCACTATTCATTTTAAAGCTCAGTTTTTAAAACCTTACAATGTAACTACAGCCCAGCCCATGCAGCAATAAATTTATGACTAACCTTATCTCAGTTGTTCTCCTGACTGTTTAGAGGATTCTGCCATGCGATTACATTTGTCCTTAAACATCGGGAATCCTTGCATTAACTTTTATCGAATGGAAAAAAGTTAGCGTTCATCGTCCAGCTTCACTATGTTTATAATATGCTAACCATAGCCATGTAGCAAGCCACCATGTAGAACATCATCATATACCAGCTAGTCAGCAATCAAGGAGGGAAACCAGTAACCCTAAAAATGTCACTGTTTAGTTTTGTCTTCATTTGTGTCTGAAGCGATATCAGAGCTGTACGTTTTAATTTTTCAGAAATTTCTCAGTCAGAACATAGTATATTATCTTTTGGGTGAAAACTAGCGAGCTAACTTCTAAGTCTATTAAATTTCATAAATTCTGTTTTCATAGATGCCTGAATGTTAAATGTAATTGTTACACCTGGTAGAGGAGCCACACTGATCATTTTTATTAAAGATGAAAGAATTTAGACAGTTTTTAACTCTCAGTGACGTTGCAGTGTTCATCTGACTTTGGGACCTGAAGAGTTTGGACCTGGAAATGGCTAATGACCGGATAGCCCAACTACTGCTGTATTTTATTTATTTATTTTTTAATCTAGGGTATCCGGTTGTTAAGTCTGACGTCACTAGCCGTGTCTGGCTTAAATAGAAGAAAATACAAAACATTAAAGATGTTAACAACACAAAAGCCATATTAAACGCAGACTACTTTAGGCCCGGAAGTAGGATTCATCCCGTCATCACTTAACGACCGGATAACAGTGCTTATGACTTTTATTTTACATTAAGGACTATAGTGCATGGTACTTTGACAAGATATCATACCATTAAAAACACATTGAAACAGTGAAGGTCAGAAAGTTTGATTATATTGAGTAATGAAAACAAGATGTGGATAAATGTGACAAACTGTTTAGAGTCCTCCTCCTTCCTTGGTTTGCTTAGTCACTCTGTCAGACACTGTGTCTTATATGGTGAACTGATGGACATTAAAATATTTAGCAAAGGATGCAACTGTGCATCATCCATGATCGCGCCCAATGCAAGTCTTCTGTCTCTCTTTCCTTCAGATGCTTGTAAGGGATTGAGACATTCTTCATCTGGGTGTAGATATTGACTTCTGGATCACAGGTAGGAGGGCAAAAGAGGAAAAAAGGAACAATGATGAAATGAAATCAGGAAAGCCCAGTGTCTAGGTCATTAGTTTAATTTGCATTTGAGGTTTTTTTTGTTATTATACACCCTTGTCTCCTTTTACCTGTGTTTCATCATTGATCTGCTCAGTAAATGTAACATAGTCTTGCCTATCAACTTGTGTATTGTCAGATCATCTGTTGGTTCTGTGCGTTCCTCATTCTTCTTGTACCTTTTTTGTTGGAAAGTGTTTCATTTTACTTTTTGATCAGCCAATACAGCCTTGATTTTTGTTTTGAATCTCTTTGTATATCTGTCTGTACATCCTGTTCTCTCCTGCTGCTCCTGTCCAAATGACAGAATGTTAAACAGCTGGTGAAGTCAAGAATATAACTATATCCCATGTAGTGGCTTTTTTGATGACATTACCAAAATGTACAGCCATATTTATTTAGACTTTTAACAAATGCCAGCACAAGACGGGTCAATAATCTGTTTTATTTATTTAAATATATCTAATTTCTTTAGCCTTGTTAGATTAAGAATTTAATAACTGCTGTCACAGGTAATTAAAGATTGTTAGCAGTTTTAAATGTATTATAAAACGCCATTACCATCTCAGCCCCATCTAAGCTGAAAGCACAGTGGTGTGTTGCTGAAATCCAGAGGCAATTGTTACAGATTTGATGTAAGTTTTATGTTAATTTACCACGCCTTAGGTCTGTTAGCTCTGCAGCACCAACATCTTTCACCAGTATTGATGACTTTACTAAACTAATGACCAATCAGAACAAGAAATGAATAGTTTTATTTCCCATTTTTCAGTTCTATAGGCTCAGCCTCTAAACTTTTCTTTGGTTTGGTTTGCCATCCTCATTTTCTGTTGATGGAAAGGGCTCTATGTGTGTGTGTCTGTGTATGTGTACCTTATTGTCACAAGAGTAAATGGATGCACATGTGGATACATGTGGTTAGGAAATTTAGTGTTGATACACTTTTTGTTTAGATTATGCTGAATTTAAGGGTCATAAGTCATTGTCATGCTTACCCACTTTCAAATTTTGGGATGTATTTTGCTAGGACAGGCGACGGACTCTGTTGAGGTTTCTCTGTGCAGAGGCTTGGCTTACTTTCACTACTGTGCCTTTTTGGGTACATCCAGCACGGAGGAAACGTCTGTGTAGACCCAGGAAACTCTGTCGGGATTTGGTTTCCGTGTATGCCAGAGGGCACCTGGCGGAGCCCCAGGAGGTGCTTGAATTAGTCACTACAAAGCTCCTCTGCTCTAGTGACGCAAAGCTCATTTTCAAAGCAGCTTCTTTTCTTGACATCACAATCCTGCACCCACACACTAGATTGGGGTATTAATATTGCATAATGAAATGTTCAGACAACAGTGGTAGAAGGTCCAATATCCCCAGTCTTGAGCAGAAAGACTGATGATGATGTGTTTTCCACCTCAGCAAATCTATTAATGCAAGTTTCTGCAAGGCACTGAAAAAATTCATGACTAACTGTGAATCAGTCTGTTTCTGGAACTGAACAAACACCAAATGCAAACCATGAAAGTTTAAATTAGATATGGGATGGATTTCTAAAAGCTTTGGGAATTTTTGAAAAACCTTCGAAGTAGATTTGTTTACAGAGAATTAATCAAATATTAAACTAGTCACAAGTCTCCCTTTTGCTCCCACTGGCAGGAAAACTGATGTTTTAATTAGAGTGAGACCAAGAATGAAATATTGAATTGCTCAGTTTGAGACCCAAGTATTACAATATTTATGAACTCCCCACTGTTAATTAAAGACTGAGACACTGCTGAGAAAAAGCCCATCAGATTTTTTGAGATTTGGAGGAATGCACTGGATTAATTTAGACAACACTGATTCAATTAGAAATGAAATTATTTTATAACTGCAATTGACGATAATCCACCTTTATTTCCTTCTACCAATAGAGGGCAGCAGCACTACTGCAACACTCTGCAAGTCTTCATACTTTATCTGCTCTGAAAACTCTTTTTAGCCTTAGTCCTGCTATCTGCACCAAGAGCTGTGTGCAAGTCTGTGTAGTGATGAAGAGTAGTTGGACTATTAGCAAGAGCTTTAACTTTTGCCTGTGGCCACTAAGAATATAAGTTTAACTCACCTTAAATCCATACTTATATGTATATATGTATCACCTGTCACAACAAGCCTCGTTTCACCCCCACAGTCATTGTACACTGTGTGGATTTTCCAACACCATAACAGATAAGTTCAGCTTGATTAAATGTGATCAACTATGACTGAGCTGTCATCCAGCATTTTTGTCATATGCTACTTGTTAAAGCATCTATCAATGAAGTTGACACACAACACAGACTCCCGCAGGATGATGCATGATAAATATGGCTGAAAAAAGACGCGCCTCAAAACCAAAACATGATAGCAAATTCATTACGTTGATAAATGGGCTAAAAAATAAAAGAAGAGCTGCTGAGAAACCAGCTCAAATGAGTACGCTGCTTCCGTGGATAGAGTTTTACTCGAGTTTGGTTTACAGACTTGGGGAAGATAAAGGACGAATCAAAGTTTGTAGAGCTCTCCGACTCTCCTGACATCAACAGAAAGAGAGAGAGAGAGGGAGGGAGAGGGAAGGAGGATTTTGGGGGGAACCTAAATACAAATCTGTTTGCCTCTCTCGCTCTCACAATCGCCAGGCGAACCAGTCTGTGTTGCGCCACTGCGCTTTCAACTTTTTTTTTTTGTATGTGTGTGATTATAACTCCTTTACTACTCTCACTTTTTACTCCCTGGCAGCGGAGGGATGTTCCTTGGAAGGAGGTTACACCCCAGCTGAATATTCTCACCTTGGAAGGTTTAGAAGCTAGGCTCATAAGTTCTCGGAGAGTTTGGGAATGGAGAACATTTGGGGAAACTTTTACGCAATTAGCTGAGTGACGCACGAATAGATATTTAAAGTTTTTGTCTAGCGTGTCATATCTACGTTGTTATTGTCTTCTTCGTCACTGGCAAAGGGATGTTTTAAGTAGACTCGTAGTTACCGAGTCTCTGGAGAGAAGTTTTCTGAATTCGTGCAACAGCGAACTTAATTTGATTTCGGCTTGCGTTTTTCTTTCTTTTTTCCAAAAATTCTGCCACAGAAAAAACGTCCTGTCTTCAACTTACACAGGATCCGCACTTCCACGGTGTCTCCTTCACCCCCCGCGGATTTTCAATTAACGTCTGTTGGAAGTAATTTCGGTGGATTGCTATAATGCCTCCGACCACACCGGGGAAGCGCGCCGCGCTCTGCCGGGTTTGGGCTCTAGCTTTCGCTCTGCTGGTGTGCGCTACATCGGTGAATGGATGCCCACACAAGTGTAGCTGCTCCGGATCTCATGTGGACTGCCAGGGTCTGGGTTTGAAGACTGTGCCCAAAGGAATACCGAGGAATGCCGAGCGCCTGTAAGAGCAGTTGTTTTATTTCAACTTATCTGTAATTGCATCAATTTAACCAAAGTTCATCATAGAGGGCACTCTGACCTTATTATTCACCTTTTCTCCCTTTGCATTACTCCCATCCTCCTGAATTGTAGATAGTGCATTTTAAACTTAACATGCTCTGTAGGAAAACTGCACGTTTTCGCAGATTTTTCCGAGCAAAATATTTTAAATACATTTTTAAAAAACATCTCGAAAACTTAGTCGTGCATTGTTAAACTTTCATCACTTGCACATAACGGTATTTATTTCATACAGCAGGCTACTGTAATAGCATCCATGTGCATCAACATCCCATTTAATTTATTAAATTCATGTTTTTATATTATCTTATAAACCCCGGTCCTGTATGTAAAACTCTGGTACTATTTCTGGTACTTTTTATCGTTGTTGCCATGATTACTACTCGGGCTATATAACGTTGGGACATAACTTTTATATAAAAGTGGATAAAGCTTTTTTTTTAGACGATGACTGGCTTTATGTGGCTTTTAAAAATCTTAAGGAAACTACTGCTATCAAAAATCCTGTCAGCATATTACTCAAAGGGTACTTCTTACTGTGAAAAGCTGCAATGCCTTTTGTTTAAAATACTGCTATTTTATTCTAGCTTAATAAATTGCACACACAAAAGTGCCCTAAAATCACCTGCGACCCCCAATGAACAGAGGTGGTTAAGAAAACAGTCACCAACTATGTTTTTAGAGAAAGCTTTTGAAATTTTAAACAGGTCAAAAGAATGTGAGAAAATCGCCTTAAATCACTTTAAATTGTATTCTTTCACATGCCTGGATAAGACTTTCTAAAGTTTTGTAGAATATGAGTAAAACTGAACTAGATCCTCAGTGTTTTTCACTTCAAGAACTACTGGTTCTTTCTTTCTTTATTCTTAGCCTGGGTGACAGTTTAAAATCATATAGGCAGGGACAGAACTCTGACAGGCGCTGCTGCCACCTCCAGCCTGATCTTGACACGTATACATCAGCGCAGCCACACACATGCACTCACAAACACACACCTTTGCTGTTAAGGTATGGAAGTGATTATGCATGACAACAGAGCAGCCAAAAGCCCTGCAGGGGATCAACAACAGACCTAACCTGAGACAACAAACACAATCAGTAGGCTGCTGAGGAAAGTGGGGGGTCATGTTTGTGAATATGTGTGAGTGTGTGTGTGTGGATGTGGGGGGTACTGGTGGATATGAACATGTGATTAGCATGTGTGTGTGGATTTTTGCTTGGCTGAGCTGTTTCATATGTTTGTGTGCCTGCGTGTTTGCACTGGCTGGTGTGATTGCTTTTCTTGTGTGTGTTTGTATGAGTGTTAACAATGAACCCCCATACCTCTGCTATTCAACAGGGCTGTTGTGACCTCCTAGGACCTGTTGGCTTTTGCACAGTAATCCCCCGAAGACATTTAGACCCAAGAAAAATAAATAATTAGAGCAGGTTGTGATGGGGAGGTGGGATAACGGGGTCTTCTGCGTCTCCCTGGGGTCCCCAGGGTGGAATATTTGGGGTAGCAGCGCCCCCTCCCTCCCTTTTCAGTCCAGAAACTCTGTGTTTATGTTTCTCTGATTTATCCAGGTCAGTGTTTCAGATGTGACTTTGGCCAAGAGTTGCTCTTTTCCTCCCTCTTTTTCTACCTTCATCTCGTTCTCCCTCTGCAGATATATTTTAGGGAGTCTGAGTTGGGAAACATTAAAATGGATGAGATTCTAGTCCTAAAGGTTACAACAGACACTTTGTTTTAAGAGAGATGAGCATCATTGCCCTAAGCAGGGATTTGATTTTGACAGTTGTGATAAAGTTCATGTGGACAACAGATTCTTGTAACAAAAAAGTTGTTAACTTCTAAGTAAAAGTTGTAAATTTCAAAAAGTTTCTCAACTATAATCGAATACTTCCACACTTCACCACTGACACATTTACAGATTGCAAAAGCCTAAGGTGATGATTTCCATTGGCAGAGATTCTTTAAGACTATAAGTTTTTATTTTTTCGTCCATATTTCAAGACTTTCCGGGCTTTTTCTATGGTATACTAACACACTCGTCATTGTGGCTTGACATTATGGTATACCAGACTTTTTCATGGTGGCAAAAACTGGCAATAAACTTGAAGTGAAGTGAAAAGTCACAATTAGGGATAAAAGTCCTCATGATTTGGGTTAAAAAAAAGAACTTTATGAACTGTTCATGCTTAAAAGAGTTTAACTGATCATTTTAAAATGAAATGGACCATATACATTTAAATCAACTCACATCATCCTAGTGTAGAACAGCGGTCCCCAACCCCCGGGCCTCGGACCGGTGCCGGTCCGTGAGTCGTTTGGTACCGGGCCGCGAAAGTTGAGGCTCAGGTGTGAAATGTCTGGTTTTCAGGGTTTTTATCGTTATTTCGTTATCGTTTTTATCCTTAACTCGGTTTTCCTGGGTCTTTTCACGTGTGTTATGAATAAATCTTCTTTTTTTCGGTACCGGTACTAGTTTTATTTTGTTGTATTTATCCACGACACCTTAAAGGCTGGTCCGTGAAAATATTGTCGGGCATAAACCGGTCCGTTGGGGACCGCTGGTGTAGAATATAGTTCAAGATCTCTGTCTAAATAAATAAATAAATCTGGGTAAATTTCCAACGTCCAAATTTAAACGTGCGACTATTTTGCTGGTAATAACTGAAATGAGTAAAGATAACATAAACCCTGGAAATTACGCCCATGGTTTCAACATTGCTTTAAATATTGTAGCACGGAAATCCTCCATCTTTTTTCTGATTTAAAAGTTTTCTTGTCTCTCTCTCGCTGAAATATTAGAAAATATAACGTGTATCTGTTACCTCACAACACTAGAACATGCATCAAGGCTGCGAAACATGTAGCATTTAGTTAAGGTGAGGCTTTCACCTTATCTTTCCGGGAAAATGTTTTTCAACTTCTACATTGCCGCACCCTCTATAGACACATGTATCGAATCAGAGTAATTTAGAACGATTGCTTGAAGTTTTATGAAACCAAATGTAGAAATTCACAGCAGAGTAAAGCAGAAGTACGTGACACATGGAGTTAAGAGGATTTCATGATATACTGTCACATTATATAACACTGAAACATTTCACAGTGGTAAATTTCCTGTGGAACGGTGGATGCCTGGAGTGAAGAGAATCAGTCAAGATGCACTGTAAAGCATGAAAGCACTGTAACACTCATGTAGCTTTCACAATATGCCCCCACTTAGCCTTTTTATTACACACAGTGCGAAAGTTTGAATCTAGTTTCTTTCTGCTACATGTGAAAACGAGTAAGCAAGCGCCGCAGTCCACCTGTCATAACCACAGAATCAATCTCTTTAAAAGCCCGGTCTTCCTCACTATTGTAAACATTTGGAAAGGTTAACGAGAGAAAAACTGTGGTGGCCCCAACTGTTCACTTAACAGACACTCACATGCTGCCAGCCTCAAAGATTACCTCGGGCCAGTCAATTCCGTAATGTTCTACTTGGAAAGCCACTTGAGGCCTCATTTGCATCTAATTTGAGTGGAGGGTTTTTGGGGGTGGCTTAACAGGCTTAACGAGGTTGGGTAAAGTGAATTGAAACATAAGAACGGCTTTTCTCTCTCGGGTTCGGTTCACACCTGCCCTACAGGCTCTGCATAGACACGCATACAAAAAAGCACAAACAGTTTTTTTTTCTTGAGATTCAAATTCCAAACTGTTGCCTCAACTGCTGTGAAAATGTGGGAGAATCAAATGCCGTAAAGTCCAAAGGGAGCTTCCAATCGCTCGAGCTGCAGTTTGTTTTTTTTCTGCATGTGTTTGTGCAAGCTTTGCACGTTTTAATTTTGTCACAATGTGCATGTGTGCATGATTGCATCCTCATACATGCACTGTGTTTGTAGTTGACTGGCAGCAAGTTTCCTCAGCCAGCTTTGCACAAGCTAAATTTGAGTTTAACAGTCTAGTTTTCTGTTCCCTCGCTAACACCACCAGTAAATTTTGGCATGATTTGTACAGGCAACACCTTCTGTGCTTTCTCTCTTCTCAGCTAGTTCTTTCTCCCCTTCTGCTCTTTAATTTCCCTTCCCCTCCAAGCTTTTTATCTTTATCCCACCGTTGTTTTTTCTCCTACATCTCTCGCTCTTTCTGCCCAACTTCTTTTCTTCTCTACTTTTCCTTTGCTTCACTCCTCAGTTCTACCACTTTTTTTCTGACCTCCACCTCCCCCTCCGACACACGCACTCACACACACCATCAGTTTGCCAGCAGCATCTCACAACCCCCATTTCCCCCCAACGTGCCAGCCTACTGTACCACAGAGCGCATAACAGTAGGATCCCTGCTGCTGCTGCTGCTGCTGCGTGTGTTTGTGCGGACACACACACTTTAGCCGCTGCTTCTGGCTCTTATCAAAGCTTAGTGTTGATTGGCCAGTGGGCGCTCTAACCACCACACCCTCGGCTATGAAATGGCATTTCATGGTGGGGCTGGAATTTTGTGTGTGTGTGCGAGATCTCTGAATACTTTGGTTCTATCCTGCGCATGGAGCAGACCAGCTAATTTGTGCTGACATAGTTCTAGTTCCCTAAATTTGGAATAATTTGATTGGATCAATCTGCAATGACTAAAGTACTGTGGTGTAGACTTCCCAGCTACTTTTGGCTCTGTCTTGAATATTTATCTGACATCATTGCAAATAACAGTGTTTTGTATACAGCTGCTAGCCCCACCCAAAGAGTCTGATAATGTTAAGTTCAAAATGTGTTCCAACAGTTTTGATGTGTTCCATGAATCTTTAGTTGTACTGCTTTGTTTTATGGGAACCAGGAAACTAATTATGATGTTTGTGCAATATTTCTGCATATGAATGAACACAGCCTTTGGTAACTGTTGAACAAAAGCCATCGTTAAGTGGAGACCGTTCTTTACTGTTATCGTGGGTATGATGATGATGTAATTTGTCTGAA